TGGGATATGTGGCAAAATGTAAACCATTAGATTTGGGGTTTTTGGTTACTTTTTAAATTATTTTGTTGTATTTTTGGCAAATTATCCCCTCCTATATTTTATTTTATGAGAAAAAAAAAAGAATATGTGTTTCCACACTACTTTTTTCTCGGAGGCCAACTTTCGGCAGCAATTTTTTTACTCAGTAGCCGACTGTTCCGTCCCTCTCCAATCTCCATCTTCACTTTCAATCTTTTGCCTAACATTTAATAATCCATTCCTAAGATTAATTAACAAACTTTAAACTTTACCAATAAATCATATTAAAAAAATATATACTTACCAAATGAATAAGAAAAAGAGATAAATATAAAATACCGGTTTTGTGACATTATTTAGTCTGTTCCCACTATTTTAAACTTTTGTTTTGGTCGATCAAAATCGAAATAGATCTCATTCAATGTTTCAGATGAATAATTTGTTTATTTAATATTTTTTGGGTTTATTATTGTGAAGACTACGTGCAGCAGTCCTTGCTGGGTCTATGTATGGGTTTACCTTTTGAGTTGTTTTCTTTTAAAATATATAAATAAATTGGGATCAATGTTTCCTGGGCAAGTCTCTCTCACAAAACAGACTAGATTTTGTAATTTCATTTTCAACTCTGTAATTGAGAATTCGATCCAAACAATTACTTCTAATGACTCTGCTGATCCTCATGATCAAAAAGGTTAGATTTTTACATAAAAGAGTATAGTTTTCTTAAGCTAACTCTGTGATCTTCCATTGTAATTTTGATTTCTGCTCAAGATTGTTAGTTGAGCTGTCAATTTGTTCTTCTTAGATCTCTTTTCCTTATGTTACAGACATTTGATCTATAGTTGTTCAAAAATTAAGTTTTTTTTTTGAAAAAAATTGAATCTTTATACTATTGACAAGAATAAAAATCTGCTTGTATGCTTGATCTTGTTTTGGTCAACTTTCTGTTCTTGTCTCTGTTTGTCCTCGATCTGCAGATTTCATTTGTAAATCGGATTAGATTCTGGAAAAAAAAACTGTTATTTTTGCATGAATCGGGCTCTGTGATTGTATACATTCAAGTTTGTTTCATTGTCTTGAGTCTTGATTCTGAAATCTCTGTCTCATTGATGCAGATTTGAGACCTGCCTTGATTGATTCTTGATCTTTTATAAGTTGTCCCAAAAAGATGTCTACTAGACAAATGTCTCCAACAAAATCACAGAACGGTTCTCGGAGTTTCACTAGAGCTTTGGCATTAGCCTTTAATGAGTGGCTACTGATGTTGATGCTCTTCGCGAACTCTATATTCTCTTACGTGATCACGAGGTTTGCTGATTACTCAGAGCTCCAATCTCCATGTCTTATGTGCTCAAGGCTTGATCACATTCTTGGGAGGGCAAAACATTTGAACAAGAAAACTCATTGGGACATGATTTGCTCTAAACACAAATCGGAAATCTCTTCGTTGGTTTACTGTCATGCTCATGGAAAGCTTGTCGATGTCCGTGGAATGTGCGAAACTTGCCTTTTCTCCTTTGCTACAACCAATAAGTCTAATGCTGAAACTTACAGATTGTTGGTTGGGAAATTGGGTGAAGACTCTTCTTGCTTTGGACCGAAGAGTGATCCGAGCACAAATCCAAAATATTGTACTTGTTGTAATCAGCTGTTGATGCCTCAAACCGCGTCTACTCCTGTGGCGAGACCGGAAACACTACCCAAGATTCGTTTGCGTGGCGGTTTGAGCACCGGGAAACAATCTACACCCCAGAAAAGTGTCAGTTTCAATCATTTGCCTCATGTTGGGTACAGTGAGCTCAAGTTTCATTCAGATACTGAATCAGAAGCTTTATTTTCAGAAGATGAAGGTGTGGTTAAAGAAGAGCATCATAAGTTTCAAGCCGTGGATCTGGACACTCCTCCGGTTATCAGCTTGCCTTATGATTTGGCTACCGACAAGTTGCTAAATCTTGACTTCCCTTTGCAGCATTTGCAAGAGATCAATTTGGGAGCTAATTCCTTATTTCCTGAGCTTATTCCAGTTAATGATGTGCCTGAAACATCAGAGAAGGCTTTGAAGGAAGAAGAGATCATTTCATTAGATAATCTTTTCTTAACATCACGCGCCATGGAACATTTCGGAGCTGTTTCGGAGGAGAAAGAAGAACTGATTCGCTTCAATGATGTTTCTTTAAGACAAGGTTTTAAGGAAATTCCTGCAGAATCCTTAATGAAGGAGACTGAGCTTATTCCAGTTAATGATGTGCCTCAAACATCAGAGAAGGTATTGAAGGAGGAAACATCACAGGCTATGGAGCATTCTGCAGCTGTTTTGGAGGAGAAAGAAGAGCTCATTCGCTTCGATGATGTTTCTTTAACACCAGATTTGAAGGATATAACTGCAGATGCCTTACTACAGGAGACTGAGCTTATTTATCCAGTTAAACGTGTGCCTGAGACATCAGAGAAGGTTTTGAAGGAGGAAGAGATCATTTCATTGGACGATATTTTTTCAACATCACGCGCTATGGAACATTTTGCAGCTGTTTCGGAGGAGAAAGAAGAGCTGATTCGCCTCGATGAAACTGTCTCTTTAACACCAATTTTTAAGGAAATCCCTGCAGATGCCTTAATGGAGGAGACTGCGCTTATTTGCCTCAATGATGTTACTTCAACTCCTGAAGATGTCCTAAAGGAAACTGATATTATGTCCCTCCACGACATTTCTCTTGGCGATGTTCCTGAATCATTCACTACAAAAGAAACTTCTGTTGAGATGTCGAAGGAGAACGACACAAACCAAGCTGATATAACTTCTCTGGAATCTGAAAATATAGTTGTATCATCTACGAAATCCATGCCTGAAAACTGTAAGTTTGAACTTCCATTTGAATGTAAGGATTCAAAGAATGTGGTGAAGGAGGAACAAACTGCAGCTGTTTTGGAGGAAATTCCTGCAAATGCCTTAACTGAGGAGACTGAGCTTATTTGCCTCAATGATGTTACTTCATCATCATCATCAGATGCAGCAGAAACTCCTGAAGATGTCTTAAAGGGAATTGAGCTTATGTCCCTCCATGATATTTCTCTAGAAGAGGTTCCTGAATCATTCACTACTAATGAAACCTCTGTTGAAATGCCAAAGGAGAGCGAAAAAAGCCAAGCTGATATGACCTCTCTAGAATCTGAATATATATTTGTGTCATCTACAAAATCCATGCCTGAAAATTCAACCGAATACTGTAAGTTTTCTTCTCCATCTTTGCGTGTATAAAATAGGCTTCAAATTATCCTTTAGTCGTAAAATACCAAGAATGTAATAGTTATGGTCTCTGATAAAGCAAATGAATTGTCATATCAGGTGAATCAGAGAACAAGGAAATGGAAGAGACATCTCTTACAGTCTCTTCTGTGTCTGAAATGGCTCCACCGACCATCACTTCTCACACAGAAGCACCTCCCGAGTCAGAATCTTCTTCGTTCAACTCAATGTCGGTGGCAGCGGAAACAAACCGTGATTCAGGTGAGTTATTGGATCTTGCGGACGCATACAATATCATTGTAAGCAATGAGGGTAACAAGGATAGTAATGGAGCACAAATAGAGCAATGGATGAAGAAAGATACTTCTAGAGTTAGCGAAGATCTTAAAGCACTTCTTACTCAAATATCAGCTTCACGCGGGATAGAGTTTTTGTCTCCTAGAGATATAAGCCCCAGGATATGTAGTGATCAGGAGACAAAGGACTTAGATCATGATATGCAGTTGCTACTTCAGAAGAGAATGCTCGAAAGGAACGAGAGCAACTTATCGTTGGAAGGAGTTTCCGTGAGCGAAATCGAGGGAGAAAGTGAGAGTGATCGGTTGAAAAGACAGGTTGATCATGACAGGAAATTACTGTCTGGTTTATACAAAGAACTAGAGGAAGAAAGAAGCGCTTCAGCGGTTGCTACAAACCAAGCAATGGCTATGATTACGAGGTTGCAGGAAGAGAAGGCGTTGTTCCAAATGGAAGCTTTGCAGAACCTGAGGATGATGGAAGAACAAGCAGAGTATGATATGGAAGCAATACAGAAACTGAATGATTTACTTGTTGAGAGAGAAAAACTAATTCAAGATTTAGAAGCTGAGATTGACTACTTCCGGGACCAGACCCCGCAGAAGAAGGATACGCTGGATGACGCAGAAAAGGTGACCGGGAATGATTCACATAATGAGAGAATGAGCAACAAGATACAGAGTTGTTTAACCGGGTTCAACGAAGAGAGACTATATATCACCAGTTTTTTGGAAAAGATTGAAAATAGAGTTCAAATAGATGTAAATGGCGCGCCTCATGTCGATAATGTAGCAACACAAGAATCTGTTTCTGAGCTACATGAGAGAGTAGAAAGGCTAAAGGGAGACTTATACTTCCTAGAACATGTTGTGAATTCTCTCGGTCACGGGAATGAAGGCGTGCAATTCGTTAAGGAAATAGCTTCGCATTTGCAAACTCTGCGGACACTCAGCATGAAAAGACAAGATCATATAGAGAGTTAATGCCGCATTTACCTGTAAACAAACCCTTCACAAAGGTATGTCCTCTCGACTTCTCTCTGATTCTTGTGTTGGATGGCCATAAATGTACAAATTCTTCTAGTACTTTATATGTAGTTCTGTTTTTATGTTAGATAACTTTGTGGAGAAGATATTGTAGAGGAATCTAAAGAGAAGTCAAGAGTGGTGAAAAAGCTTAAGGAAACTGTACAGCATCTTCTTCATGGCCTTTCCCCTTTCGTATACAGTATACTCTCAGAATTTCACATTTTTTTTGGGTTTGGTGTTCATAATTTCTTGTGGGTTTTCACTTTCTTTGGGTTTATTTATTTTCTAAGGCTTTTTCTACTAGGATTTGAGTAAAGAGTGGATGTGAGTTTGTTCTGAAGTTCTCATTTGATAAATTTTATTAGTTAGATTGATACTTTTTGCTTGGCATGTCCAAAAGTCATGTAACTTTGTTAAGCTTTGTTGTACATCTCTTGGTTATAGAGAATGTCCTTTGTTAAACTCAATTTCCTTTGTTGGTTTTAGGAAAAATGTAAAAAGAAACCTCAGAATTTTGAAAAAGTAACAAGACATTGATCATTTCTCTGTGGGCTAGATAGCAAACCAGTTTATAAAACAAAAAGTCTATTTTCCTTTTGACATTACAAAATTAAGAACTTTGACAGGGACAAAGATACT